ACTTTTTTGAAATTTCATGAAACAATTTGTTGAAATGCCATTATTCTGTCAGATATCTGATGCCGTACAACGTCATAACCCCTCCAAATCTAAAAGATCGACAATGGATATTCCGCTAGTGCGTAAGAATGGACTGCGCTTCTGATCAATTACTTTCCGGATTGTGTGATCTTGCATAATCTTCGCTTTCTAAGATGCCACCGTCTCTTTGTCCATGTTCACTAGGAAATGCTTTTTGAAAACACCTTACATAATTGTACCAGTGTGGCCTTCTGAAAACATAGAACGAAATAGTCAATTAGAGAGAGGAAATCAAAGATGCTTTTTTCAGTTAAACGACATCTTTGGGATAGCAGGACTATACAGCAGTAGCGACGATACGGAGTTGTATGGGATGCTTTAACATTAAACATGACGAACTTATGGGTCATCCTAATTATAATGGAGCATTAATTAGAGTTCAATTTTAATCCGATAGAACTTCTCCTTTTTTTATACACCTGCTTACTCTTAAGCGTAGATTCAAATAACCTTGAATTGCTGCATTTTTGGCTTTTTTCCTTTAAAAAATTATAACTCGCATGCGATTATAAGAACACTTACAGAATACTCCTCTCTTTTCTTCTAAGTAACTCTCTTCAGTTAATCCATTAGTTCTTTCATTAGTTCCTGAAGAGATTTATCAATCATTCAAGTAAAAAGATGGGGAAAAGTTTTGTAAGACGCAAGCAGTGGCGACTAGAATGATTATGCATGTTTGCTTTTGACTAATTCTTTGGTTTTTCATGTATTTATTAAATTATAACTCCGAGACAAGGTTTAGGGTCAAATAGTTTTGTATCGGGAAAAATGCCATAGATGCACCTCAAACTTGAACTTGCATACGATATAATTATCTACGTCTTTTTGATGAAAATTGTGATTTTGTTTATTTGCTAAGAGGTAGAGATTGTACTCTAAATAACAGCTAGGGCTCATTTCTAACTGAAACAAGGTCGAGCACAGCTTTTAATATTGACTTACTGTCAGCAATGATTAACAGTTATGCACCAGCTATTTCTATAAGAGAAAGCTTTCAGGTTTAGCAACAAGACAATATCTCACAAAAACGTTCCACTCCTTGGGGTGCAGTTTGAAAACAGGGTATTGAGGCGTATTATATATAACTCTTGTAATAATTGATCGTCCGTATGGTCCATCGAGCTTTGAGACATCGTTTTGGAAAGATAGCGCGCACACGTAAATGGTGGATGTTACAAGACTCAATATCTCGCTTTGCTGAAGAGAAGTTCTAGGATCAACAGACTGACTTGGTGGTAAGAAGGTTGTTAAGATACATCCGCGTTGTAGGTGGCGCTGATCAGTAGAGGAGTTAGCACCCTGGGTGAACGGCGGCTTCTTCACCCCTCTCACCCTTTTCTATGTTTTAAATTTTTTGTTATAAATAAACATATGCAAATAATATATGTTTTCGAATTTATATTGGAAAATCTAGGTGTAGGAATCAAGTGAGGAGTGTGCACAACTTCTAAACGTGACAAGGTATACGTTATTTCCACATCTTTTTAGTAGTTTCCTTAGATTATTTGTTCGTCAGAAATCAACCCAAACAGGCCAAATGTATTAAAAGGGATTAGAAATATGTAGCACGCTATTTCTTTCTTGCGCGAGAATTTTCGGCAATAAAGAACTTCCAGTTTTATTTAAATACATAAGATAGGATC